ACTCTCCTCTGAGAGAGAGTTTAGAACACAAGAGGGTCTTCTCTGAACCTCGTGGCTCAACGGGAGGGCTCTCCTTTTGCCGCTTATCAGACTCCCCTTATCCTCCCTTTAACGCGACACCATTTCTTTTGGAAATTTCTTTTATGGTATATTATAGCCCAGGCTAGGAGGCTTGACAGCTTACATTTTCCTTTCACTTGATTTCATTCATATTAGTCTCTGCCCTAGTAAGCTTCCTATGCTCTCTGACGTCTTTCTCTTAGGGTTTGTGTTCACTGAAGGAGCATTTCAACTTGGAGCACAATCTTAACCATTATCTAACGCTAAAGTGACTACACCATTTTAGTCTGTGTACTCAGCTAAATTGCTCTCATCATCATGTCAGCTGGGTTTTGCCCTACATTTATTTTAATGTGAAAGAAAACCTCAGTCTTTTCAGAAGAGTAGAAATAAGACAGAAATAAAAAGAAGCGTGTCCAGTAAGCTAAACAGTTTTAGCTCTGTGAACATTAATTAGCATTTCTACCGCTCAGGGGAAATCATAAGTGCTGGACAAGCAAGGCTTCCTGAGCTAACAGCTTCTTATAATCAGACTTAAAAATATGAAGTTGGACTGTGCTGGTTTGGCTGTTAGGCTTTCATCCTCTGTTCTATTTTTGATCTTTTTGAAAATCAAAACTTGGAGTGGGAAAATCACAGAAAGACCTACATATTTTACAGCAGTTATATCAAAGACATTGAACTTTCTCTAAGCATGAGTACATCTCCAAAGAACAAATTGAGATTTCTCCTAGGCTGCAAGGCTGACTCTAGCATTCATTGCCTTTCATTTTCAAATTATAAAAATGTCTAGTTTATATTCCAACACTAAATTTGAGAAACCAATATAAAAATCAAGCAAGAACAGGACTTAGTTTTCAGTATGACAGTCACTGGCAAATATCAATCATTTCAACAGGGCAGCTTTAAAGAAGAGAAGTCATGCCAGGTCCAGTTTTGTCTGAGAGAATATACGCAACTGGCTTCGGGTCAAATAAAAATAGAACTGAGCAGAGGCAATCACCTCTCAGCAGTGAACTAGGAAAAGAGGGAATATGTCATCTGTGGCAGAAGACAGCTGTGTGCCTCCAAGAAGATTAAAACTGACAGTAAACTGTACACTAACTGTATTCTGCTTAGTCTTTGATTATGCACAATCTTAAAAGCCCACACATTAAACATACTGATATCTATTTTAATATATTGTTAAACATAAGTTGCACTTGTAAAAGAGCGTAAGTAAAATGATTTTTCTTAAGTATTGTATTTTACCAAATCTGAATAAAGCAAACACTGACCAGAGGAAAGTTAAATTCCAGAAACACATTTCTTGTTTTCTGAGTACACTTGAACAGATCCTGATTATGTGAGTTGCTTACTAATCATATTATTACATTTAGCAGGTGGAATTTGGCACCCAGAAGACATAAAACAGACTTGCATTAAATAAATGTATGAGGTATCGAAAAGGTTCTTATTGAAGACGTGTCTCTGATTTCCTCATGGACAGAAGCTGGGTTTCTCAATGAACTCTCAAGAAGGGGGGG